GGAACCGGTGGGTCGTTAGAAAATTTTACTACTAATAGAGACACAAAAGTGGGCGGTAGGTATAAAAAGGTTGACTACCCCTGTCCTAAACAGAAAAAAAGACCCCCCCAAAAAACAGGACTTATCTACAACATACAATGTAAGGACTGCAACAACCACTATGTAGGACAAACAGGCAGAAGACTGGCAGAACGCATCCATGAACACCAACTAGCAGTCAGAAGACATGATGAAAATTCTTTAATTTCACAACATATAAACAAATTTAACCACAGTTTCAATTGGAAAAATGTGACCATCCTTGACTAAGCCAAATCCAAAAATGCCAGAGAATTTCTAACAATTCAGCCATCACTAGATACATAGACATTAACAGCATCTATAGACTATGTAAAAAAGACTATCACCCTGCCAAAAAGGAACAAAAACACCCAAACACCTCTTCATCAGCAATCAGCACCCAGATCAGCAGAGATTAAATTCAAGGTTAACATCAGACCAGCAATTAGGTATACAATACTCCAAATCAAACTGCCAAAGAAGTCAACAGCTAACAGCCCAACCAAAGAATCTCTAAAATCACTCCCACCAACCCTGACAGGCAAACTACTAGAATATAAACTAACAGCAAATGGTTCCTGGGGTATCAAGCTTGATTTCATTGAGGTTACATCAGGATTGTGTTTGACCTGGGAGAGGTTCATAGCCACCTCGACATCACTCATATCGGGAAGGGGGGTGTTGTCGATCCACATCAATATTACTTGTATCGGGAGAGCGGGGTTGTCTGTGGTGGCCCAAGCATTCTGCCAGAAAAAACAGGCTTCTGAGCTCCGTTTTAGAATGTGATGGCATCTTGCAACCTTCTGCCAGCAAAAACGGAGTCCAGGAGGGCCGCCCGTGGCCCTTGCGAGCTCTGTTGTCAGCTATGACAGCATCCTGCAATCCTCTGCCAGCGAGCTCTGTTTTTGCTGGCAGAGGCACTGTGGGTCGGTCCTTTGCTGTTTCCAGGACGGCCCTGCAGGCCAGATCTAAACACCCCACAGGATGCATCTGATGGGTCTTGTGTTTGATACTCCTGCCTTACTAGCACTGTTGTTACTTAGTTTGGGTAATGAAACATTTGCAAGAAAACAAGCAAGCTCAGAGAACACCAAGGACCCTTCATGTCAGCTGTGAGCTACAAATATTTTCCTTTATTAGTGCAGAAAATATTTTCAACGGAATACTTAGCTGATTAAAATCTCAGGGAATAACATTAGTTCCTTCATTTTGATGGATATAACTCCTTTACCTAGAGGCACTAGCCAAATAACTAGATTCTTTTTGAAGGTATTTGATAAATGTTTAGAGAATAGGAAGTTCATAGTCATGTCTTTGGTCTGCTAAAACTGAAATAGTTCCTATAACTTTTGTGAATTATTATACCATCTCTACCTGTATTTGCACATCTTGCAATGTCACCAACCTTTTTCTTCAATGAATATTCTAATGATGCATACATTGCTTTAATTTCTCTCTATTTACTTATAATCATTTACTCCATTTTTTCTAGTCAAGTACAACTATATACCTCTTTTCCGTATTAACTGCCATGTCCGCTTTCCTTGTAGTATCACACAATCTGAACTTTGCTACAAGTTATTCAGGTTCTTGGCCATTAACATGATTGTGTCCATACAAAAGTACATATGCTTTCACACACCCCAAAACACAACTAGAAAGTCACTAGCATCCCCTGGACATTTATCCATAATACGTACAATAAACAACTCTTTTCAATTCCTATTTGGTACACTTCCTTAAAACTGTTATTTTAATTACCATATAATCTTTCTAAACTAGGTGGTTAGATTGGTTGTATAGGTAGTCCTTGATTAATAATGGCAATTAGGACTGGAATTTCTGTCACTAAGCAACACAGTACATCACAGGACCACACCACTTAGCAGTTACATTACATGTAATGTATATTGGAGGTGGTGACCCTTTGAGAGCTGCATGCAACAAAATTTCATTTAATGCATGCCAATTAGTGTACATTCAAAGTGAAAATACAGTTATTTCTATTCCTATTCCTGTTCTATTTCCATGACATGGAATGCTGCAATGTCCTAACTTAAGGGAGACAACAAGCAACAGCTACAATTGCAAATACCAGTATGTACAATCAGTGCCCCACATAAGTTCTAGCAGTCGCTGAACAAGTGGTTGTTAACCAAGAACCATATTCTTGGTATTATCTTGGCACCCCAAACGCTTGATATTAGCGTTTGGGGCGCCAATACCCATTCCTTACAGTTGTATTCTATCAATTATATTGTTTCTAAACTGGAGGGTTAAGATTCATGTTAATCATTTTTGATGGCAGTGTCCATTTCAGCTGATTTTGGTTGAACATTTTTGAAGAAATTACACATATCTCTCTTCTCCCGGTACATTTCCAATGTTGCAACACAACAAAATAGGTATTATTAGGTGCCAGATTTAAAGTGGAAAAATATAGAAAGCTAAACTGACCTTGTCTGAAAAATTAAAACACAGCAAATGCTCCTATTCGCTCCTGCTCTCCCTTTAGGTCAAGCAAGTAATGCCCATTTAGGTCACCTCCATCCAGACAAGCATCTTTTCGGCTGTCCCTTAATTTGGGGAGAAATTGACCTTTGTTTCCGTGGATTTTAAAGGTGTTTTAATCTTTCCTTAACAGTTCGCACGAGCCCTACTACCTGAACAGCTGCAGGCCTAGACGACCGGAAGCCTCGCTGTGGAGGTGCCGAGAACCGGCCGGCTTCAAACCGCCACACGCACCGGACAAGACCTCGGAGTGGACTCGCCGCCATCTTGAAACTGCCCTCCACCCGGCGCGCAGCTGTCACGTAATCTTTGCGCAGCCCGCCCAGCCACCCCGCTTTCGCTCTCCACGGTTGCCCAGTAACCCGGCGAGAGAAAGTTTCTCGCGAGGTTGAACCAACGAGAACTGCCCCTGTAGTTGTTGGTTGGTACTTTTTTTGCCCCGCTTCCGCCCACAGTTGAGAACGCTGGGATTTCAATGTCAGAGAATATTCTCCAGCTGTAATTCGAGGCGGTCACAGAAAGTTGGCTGGATGAGACAGAGAGAGAAAAAAATATGTGTTATTATGAAACCTGTCTCGGTTGGGGAACATAGAAAAGAGCCCAATTTTTCAGCCAGATAATTGAAAAAAACTTAACACTTTTTACCCTAATGGAGTCAGCTGATATTTCCAATTCAGAGCCCTACATAAAAAATCCCTCTAGGATCCAATTCCAGGGCAGATTTTATGTATTTGAATAGATTTTAGATAGAAAAAGCTTCACAGTTAATAAAGAAGAGATCGGGTAGAAGAAGGTTGAAAAAGCTGTAAACAACTTTAAACTGCAAAACAATGTTATTTAAGGAGGATTTGCATACCTTTCCTCACTCCAAAATAATAAATAAGGCCATAAGGATGTGTGTGTAGGACTCGAAGAATAAAGCTTTAGAATGGAAGCTCATCTAAGATTATTGAGCCCTCATATCAGAACTCATTTGGATATTTTGTTTTTTCTCCTGGAAAAGACGTTTTCTTTATAGTTACTTTGCAAAAAAAAAAAGAAGGAAAAAGTAGAATGGATAGAATACACTTGCTAATCATAGTTTGGAAACGAAACCCATTCTTTGATGTAAGTTCTGTTACAAGTATATGAAAATGCATTATATGCAGCTGGAATTGATACAAAAGGCATCTTTCAGTTCCAACTTAATTGTTTAGCACTGCTACCTTGGCCTTGCAGTATTCACTATGAATAAATGATCTACTCTTTCAATCAGATTTCAGTCAAATATCTTCCCAGGCAATCGAACAAATTAATTCCTCTGTATATTCGTTCTTGCTGCCTTTTTTTTGTATATGGAAACGACAATAGTTTTCTTCCAGTTGTCAGCTATGGCTACAATTTTTTGCGCATATTAAAAGAAATCCCATAGCCGCGCCATATGCAAGGCACATTTCTGTAATGTTTACACCATCTTACTCTGCATATATATGCTGTGGCTCTTTTCAAATAAATCATTCTTTGCTCTTCAGCTAGATTCTTTGCAGCTTTCTCTTTCTTTGCACATACAATAAGTATCTGTCTTTGATTTTTGAACTCTCTCATATGCAAGGTTTTTTCCTAGCCCACAGGATCTTTCATGTTATCATTGCACCAAGCTCATTTGCGATCCTAAGTTCAGGAATACCTGTATCCATGAGGCCATTACAAGAAATAATATGCTAAATTGGGCCTCATACATATGGAACTATATATGCACACATGTACATTTCCTGAATAACCATAACCTTGTCCAAGTGTACATCTTATGTGTACGAGAGAACCAAGAATGAAGCACTCTGGGAAGCAAAGTTGAACTAAGACCCAATATATCAGTAAGAACTCTTTTTCTTCTGAGTTTGCAAGCTTGTCATGATCTTATAGGTGCATTCAAGTGTGGTTCAGAAAAAAAAAACTCTCTTAGAATGATGTGTTTAATAGTTCCATAAACCTTAATATATTAACACAAGATTTGACTTAATGGCCAAAGCCAAAATAGTAAGCCTGGAGCCTGAGGAGTGCAGTTAAGCCCATATTGTGGTTATGTTGATTATGCTCTTTAGTTTTATCTTGGCTGCTATATTCCTTATCTATAGTTTTATTATTTATTAATTAAATTTATAGTTCCTTATTTACAGGACTCCAGCTAGCTCACAAAAACATAAACCAGGAACAATCAAAACGATTAAAACAGAACCATTAAAAACAATTAGAACAATTAAAAATGTAACTTCCCAGTTATATTTTTGTTTTTATTGCCTCTTAGCTGCCTAGAGACATGTTTGACATGGGTGGTGGCCACATTAATCAATCAACTGAGTAAGTCTACACTGTGTGCACAATTAGTAGGCAAATGTGTATTTTGACTGTATCTCATTTTAATGCATATTTTCCACCTCCAAGCTGTATAAACTTGAATGCTTAGTGGATGTAAGCTTATGAGGTGACGTGTATTTGTGTAATGAGGATGTGGCCTAAGGAGAGCAACACCCTGTATATCAAGGTTTGCATAATTATTAGGCAGCTTTTTTTCCTCAGGCAAAATGGGCCAAAAAAAGAGATTTAACTGACTCTGAGAAGTCAAACATTATAAAAATCTTTTAGAGGGATGCAGCACTCTTGAAATTGTTAAGCTAAGAAAATGTTTTGTTGGAAATAGTTAACAGGGTTACAAGAAATGTGTTAGAAAAAAAAGATCCACATTAATTGTCAAAGATTTGAGAAGAATCAAATGTGAAGCTACCAGGAACCCATTATCCTCCAGTGCTGTCATATTCCATAACTGCAACTTACCTGGAGTGCCCAGAAGTACAAGGTATTAATTGCTCAGAGACATGGCCAAGGTAAAGAAAGCTGAAATCCAATCACACAAGACACTTAAGTTGAAAAGGCAAGTCTGGGCCAAGAAATATCTGAAGGCAGATTTTTCAAAGGTTTTATGGATTGATGAGAATGACTCTTGATGGACCAGATACATAGGACCCTAGCTGGATCAGTAACAGGCACACAGCTCCACTTATACTCAGACACCAGCAAGGTGGAGGTGGGGCACTGGTATGGACTGGTATTATTAAAAATGAAATAGTGAAATGTTTTCGGGTTGAAGATGGACTCAAAATCAATTCCCAAACCTAATGCCAGTTTTTAGAAGACACTTTCTTCAAGCAGTGCTAACAGGAAAGTCTGTATCAAGTCTAACCATGATTTTTATGCAGGACAATGCTCCATCACATGCATCAAAGTACTCCATTGTGTGGCTAGCTACTAAAGTCCTTAAAAATGAAAGAACAATGGCACGGCCCCCTTCCTCTTGATGTAAACCCTATTGAGAACTTGTGGGCCCATCTTAAAACGGAAGATTTACGGTGAAGGAAAACAGTACACCTTGTGGTTGCTGCTGCACAAAAAGTTGATCGTCAACATAACAAGAAACTGACAGACTCCATGAATGGAAGGCTTATGATTGTTATTGAAAGGATGACTGGTTATATTGGTCCTTGGTTGCTGTTTTTTTGAAATAAATAAAATTAATCCTCAAAAATACAACTTGCCTAATAATTGTGCACCCAGTGTATGTTTTGGCTTGTCACATTTTGGAGAAATGTACATAAAATATTAATGTTTGCATAGCTATTTGGTTCATTGCAATTTCTGTAGTTAAAGATCTTAATTTGTATTTACAGCAACTTCTATTTTATTCAGCATTTTAGAGCACGAATGGAAGATAGATGGGAAAATCTACAACAGGGAGAAAAATGGGTCACAAATGAAGGAGAATATACATGTCCCAGGATTCTGGATCCTGCAAAATAATAATAATGGTGATAATAGTTTAATGAAAGAACTGTATGGGAATATCTTGCCTTCTGGAAAGCTGAAAATGAATTAACTGGAAGGAACTCTTTAGGCTGCCAAAGAAATAACAGGGACTTTTGAGATTTCTAATAGTAAGATATGTTTTCCATAAACTAAAGAAGTTGCTACAACTTACAAAAAGGATTAAAAGAATCAGCTGAAGTTCTGACCTCACTTTGAAGAAACCCACTACCTGCGTGATCATATACAAATAAGCCATCACTTTCACAAAAGAGTTGCATGAAATTTAAGTGAAAGTCTCATGCTTGGATTCTTCAATAGCCTTGTTTAATCATCCTGCAGCGCAGGCCTCACTATGAGTGAAACAATACAGCCATGTGCAAAATCCAGCCCAATGTGTGATTGCTACAAAGGTATGTGAGAGGGAAGGATATAAATCAGAACTAGAGGTCGGCAAATAGGGCATATAATATATGAGCCATGAAAGAATATGTCGTACAACTAGATTTTTCACGCGTTTTGGAATACCTTTGGAACGCATTGACCGCAGCCGGCTATGCGGTCATTTACCCCCAGATAAACCAGTTTGCTACATAGAGCAGATTTCATCAAGCCTTTGAGTAAACACGCTCAGCGTCGAAAATACGCTCCAGCTGTTCGGTACTGGTGGACCCAGACAGGGAGAGGAGGAAGAGAGAGAGAGCGAGAGCGAGAGCTACACACACACTCTCTCTCTCTCTTCAACAAAAGCCTTGCAAGACGCGGGGCGCGAAACGCATCGGCAGCCTTGCTTCTGGGCTCGCCGCTACTCAGCCTCGCTACCCAGGTTTACCCGCTCCTCCCTTCCCTCCTCGCTCAGGCCAAAGCGAGCAGGCTCCCAAAGGCTAGGAGGAGGAGAAGAGGAGGAGAAGGCGGCGCCGGGGAGGAGCCAGACACGCAGGCGGATTCAGGCTTGGTTGTGCTCGCACCCACCGGCCTCTTCTGCGTCCGAACAGAGCCGGAGATTGAGAGAGAGAGCGAGAGAGCGGGAAGAGACGGATGGAGCTTGCGGAACGCTACAATCCCCGGGTGCGTAAATCCAGCGGGGTTTAAGATGGCGCGGGAAGCGCGGAGTGCTGCTTTAGCGCGGGGATGAGTTGGGACGGCGGGTCGGGCGCTTTAGGGG